ATATGAAGAAATAAGAAATTTGAAAATAATTTTTTAAAAAAAATTATAAATTAAACAAAAGAAAGTTATGAAAATTAAAGGGTTAATTTCACAAATGGTCAATGAACTTAATCGAAAATCTCAAAATGATCATTGAAGTTTAAAACTTGTAGCAACGATCACTGAACATACGGGCGCTTTCACTAACGGTCGCTGATGCACCAAAACATGTGAATTGGATCCTTGAGGACCTCAAGTGTAAATTTCATCTAATTTCATTTGCTCAAAATCTACCCCTGAAATTTAGAAATCGAGCCAAATTCCTCCCACTTTCACCTTATTTCGTCAGAGCCGAAATTTGTCAAATTCGATTGCCATACTACTGGATAAACCACCTGATTTTTACACCACCAACACTTCCTCATCTCCCTCCACAATCCTATACAAACAATCAACCAAAACACATAAAAAAATCACTTGAAATTTAGGTTTAAAAAAATCATCCCCGCCCACGGTTTTACCTCCAATTCCGGCCAATTTGTGATAAATTGGTGAGGACCCATATGTGCATCTTGTTCGCCATGGTGAGCAGAATGTAATGGTGGTCGTGGGCGACTGTAATTGTTGACGCCGGCGCAGGAAATTGGGGAGGAGAGTTCGTTGTGGTATGGGTTAGATTTTGATTTAAATTGTTTTGTGATGGTATGGACCACGTACCTGTTTGTCTTGAGGGAGTACTAACAACCTGTGATGGAGTTTTGGTATGGGTGATGGTGGATTGGTCGGAATTGGAGATAAAACCGTGCGTGTGTATGGTTTTTCGAACATGAATTTCGCCATGATTTTTGATGTGTTTTGGTTGATTGTTGGTATAGAATTGTGGAGGTGGATGAGGAGGTGTTGGTGGTGTAGAAGTCCGGTGGTTTATCTGGCAGTAGGGTGGTCGATTTTGGCTTTGAATCCGTCAGCGTCGAAGAAAAAAGCTGGAAAGTGAGGAAAAAATTGTCTAAAGAGTGATTTGGTCCTCAAGGTTTGATTTTCACGTGTTTTGGTCATTCAAGTTTGAATGAAAAGTATAATGGGCCTTCAGTGACCGTTTTTGGAAAAAAAATAATTTAACTTCAGTGACTGTTTCTACAAGTTTTAAACTTCAATGACCGTTTTGAGATTTTCGATTAAGTTCAGTGACCGTTTGTGAAATTAACCCGAAAATTAAATAAATAATATATAAATAATATTTAAGTAAAATTAAAAAAAAATAAGTTTTATCATAAAAAGAAAAGAATTTTAAAAAAAATTACTTATAATATGAAAAAAACAAATTAAGAGTATAATAATAATAATTATTATTATTATAATAATAATAATAATAATGTGATGGAGAGAAATCTCCCCATAACATGGAGAATTCTCTCCATAACACTCTATATGTCATAATAATAATAGTGTGAACTCTCCATTTTTTATTTTTTCTTTTTTTTTTTAAATTGTTTTGTTCTTCATATAAATATATTTTTTAATTTAAAATTCTCTTTAATTTTTTTCAATTTTAATCAAATAATATTTATATATTATTTATTTAATTTTCGTAACTTTCTTTTGTTTAATTTGTTTAATTTTTGTTATATTTTTTTGTAACTGTTCTAAAATTTCTTTTTCTTCATATTATAAATAATTTTTTGTTTGATTTAAAATTCTTTTTAATTCTTTTTTGTTTTATGATAAAATGTAATTTTCTTAATTTTAATTGAATATTATTTTTTTAATTTTAATTATTATTTTTTAATTAAAAAACTTTAAAATAACCTTTTTTCCATTTTTGACTCACAATTCTTTTTTTGTTCTTTAATTTGTTAAATCATTTAGTTTTTTTATTAGTATATTGGTGTAAAATGATAGTTACAATTCAGTTCGCTTAATTTTTTGATATTATACTTTATTTCATTATCTCTTATTTAATATTCTAACATTTGAATTTTTACAGAATGGAACACCATCTAGATACAGTAACTGGGCACGACTCTATAGAAACAGTGTCACAACAACTGCCTCTTTTATTTTAGCTAGGATTAGGATTAGGAAGTAAATAGTCAAAATAAAGAAAATCATAATGGGATAAATGAAATGAACAATACAAAACCACTTTGGGAATAGAGTGTGACAAAAATTAATAGTACTCTCCCAAATCCCTCTTTTAAGAGAAAATAGGTAAAATTTAATTTTAATTTTAGTTATTTCAATTTAATTTAAAAACATTATAATAAATTTTTTTTTTAATCTTTGCAATTCTTTTTTTGTTCTTTAATTTGTTAAATCGTTTTGTTTTTTTATTAGTATATTAGTGTAAAATGATAATTACAATTTGGTTCGTTTAATTTTTTTAGATTATACATTATTCTATTATCTCTTGTTCAATGTTCTAATATTTGAATTTTTACAGAATGAAATATCATCTAGATGCAGTAATTGGGTACGACTCCATAGACACAGTATCACAACAAGTGTCTATTTTATTTTAGTTAAGATTAGGAAGTAGATACTCAAAACAAAAGAAAAAATAATAATGAGATAAATGGGATGAACAGTACAAAATCAATTTGAGAATAGAGTGTTAAAAGGAGTGACAAAAATGAATAGTACTCGGAAGTCCCTCCTTTAAGAGAAATTAGATATATGTTGGAACCGTCGTCAAACTTTGAGTAGGTTGTCTTCAAAGAGGTTATGGGCGCATAGATAAAATGGTAAATATAACCCTTTGGATTCAGTTAGAAGGATGAATATTCTTTTAACAAGAACTATGAAATTTTCGGTGCGTAAATACTCTTTTTGTGACGTTAGACGTGACAAAACAGGACAAAATTTGCAATTTACCTCTATTTTTGGTCCATTCAGCATAATATGCCAAAACATATAACTAAAATAACTAAATTGAGCTTATCATGAGGTGATCGAGTTTGTGGAGTACGTGAACGCAGAAACCTTTAGTCACGAGTCTGTTTCCTCCTACCAACACTTTCTTGATCGAGCTTGTTGCACTGAAATTGTTTAGTGCGATTTATTTGGTTGGCGTGATTTGCATGTTATTGCATCGACCTGAGGGTTTACCCCATGCGCTCTCGAAGAGTAGCGGTTGCGAGTTCCCCATCATAAAAAATAAAAATAAAATCTACATATGTTGTGATATTATAGATTTTTATATTAAAATGAGTCTTGAAATCATATGTATATGAATTTGTGACAAGCTATTATAATTTTAAAAAAAAATTATATACATATAAACCAACAACAACAACAAATAAAAGTAATTATAAAAATAATTTTAATTGTCAAGTTCAATTCGAGGAACCAAATTGATGCAAAACATAGTGAAAAGAAACGTAGACCCCTAAGAAGCTTTAAAACTAATAAATTTTACTTTGCAACATTTTATTTCTCAGGAGTGGGTAAAAGAACTAAAACTAATCGAGTCAACTTAGAATCAGACACAATGTTTTGTGTAAATTTCAAACGGGTTTGGATCCTATGAATCAAAGTCCACTTGTTCTAGTTCTAGATCTAGGAACCAAGAATTGAGAATATAAATATCAACGATACAAAATTAGGTCAAACGGACAATTATCATCTCTGTCCCATTGGGAGATTTTTAGGAGGCAGGGCAGGGATTAAAAATCTCATTTACCGTCTCGAATTATTTAATGATAATTTAAATATAATTTTTAATTGAAAAAAAAACTAAATAAAAAATTTGAGGTGAGTTCAATGAATTCTAGGCAGGGAATATGTTCTTCGTCCCTGCTTCATTTACTATTTGAGAGCGATGTAAAGCAAGGCGAGTTAGGGGCAAGGATTATACCATCCTTAGTCGACATCAAGAATCGATTATGACCTTACTTTATTTTAAATTATTGTCGTTATCTAATTAAGTAATTAATGCCATTTTTTACACCAAATTTAACTCATTTGGAATTACATAAAAAATTTGTTGTACTTCTTCTTCGATAAAAAAAATATATATTTTTCCTTCAAAATTCTGGATCCATTTGATTACAAGAATGAAATTTATGTGAAAAAACGAATTCCAGAAAATTGAATTGCCTAAAATTTGTTTTACCAGAAATTATTAAAAAAATGTGTTTGATTGATATAATTTTTTACCCAAAAAATGTTAAAATTTTGGATCTTTTGGTGTTCATTTGGTTTTGTTTTCCATTAAAATTATCAATTAAAGGAATAGAATTTGTTATAATTTTAAATAAAATTTGTTTCCATTGCACAAAAAAAAAATAAAAAAAAATAACCCTTGAAATTGATTTCCAAATGTGGGGTGGGGTGGGGTGGGGGGGTTGAGGAAAATGATTTGCCTGAAAAAAATTTGCAATAAAACAGCTAAAAAGGTGGAAAATAAAAATTTTCCATAAAAAATTTGTTGTATCAAACGGACCCTAAATTTCTTTTTCAATTAACACCTATCTTTTGCCGCAGCCTTCCAATTTGCACCAATATTTTGATAATTTTGGTTATGGAATTGAACTAAACCAAATCAAACCATAGTAGAACGATTCTATTCTATTCTGATCTAGTTCCATAATTACTCTCGATTTGGTCCTCTTTGTCATGCCCCATCCTATATTTGGATAATTAAAGTAATTCATGAAAAAAATTAATTCATTTTATTATACAAATAAAATAATTAAATTACGCATTAACTTATTTAGTGCTTGTTTGGTAAGAATTTTGTTAATTAATTTTTTGACCATTAGATATTAAGTTGGTTCTATTTGTGAGAGAAGAATTCAAAAATAACGGTTGGAATAGTGAAATAAAGGTAAAAAAATTGATATTAATTGGATTAAAATCTTTACCAATTCACTTTATAAGGAAATTAAAATTTCATTTTTATATGGAAAAAATAAGTCATTTTAAAAGTAACTTTGTTTTTATAAAAATGAAATAATTACTCATTAACTTATTTATATACAAAATACAATAAGGAAATTTTTTAGCCTAACCAAATGTTATAATACTGCGCCCAGGATAACAGAAATCTTTGCGTTTTATTTTTTATTTTTTAATGCTGCTCTCTTGTAGCATAGGTGCACTTGCATGTACAATTTTCTACAATCGTCGCAGACATTAATCTATAGACATCCACTTTCCTATTTCTCTAGCCTTATTGATCAGTGCTTTTCGTTAAAGAATCCCGCAAAATTTTCAAAAGCCATTCATGCTCAGTTGATAAAATTATCTTTTAATACGAATACTTTTTTGGGCAATCGCTTTATTGAGCTTTATCTAAAATCTGGGTCTGCAAATGACGCTCTAAGGGCTTTTCATGAATTACCCGACAAAAATGTTTTCTCTTGGAATTTGTACTTGAAAGTGTTCGTCAAATGCTTTGACATGCTAATGGCGCGTCAAGTGTTTGATGAAATGCCTGATAGGGATGTTGTGAGTTGGAATTCGATGATATCGGGGTATGTTTCAGGTGGATTTTTGGAGAATGCACAAGACATGTTTTTGGAAATGCAAAACAGTGGCGTTAAACCAAGTAGCTTCACGTTTTCAACTTTGATTTCTTGCGTGAAATGTGCCGATTATGGAAAGCAAATGCATGGCAATATCACAAGGAATGGTTTTGATTATTCAAATTTGGTGGTTGGAAATGCATTAATAGATTTGTATGGAAAGCTTGGTTTAGTGGATTATGCGGTTGGTGTGTTTTTTACTATGCCAAAAGTGGATGTGATTTCTTGGAATTCTTTGATTTCTGGCTGTTGTAAATCTGGTTATGAAAAACCTGCATTAAGTCATTTCTGCTCAATGAGAGGTAAGGGGCATAAAGCTGATGAGTATACGATGTCGGCAGTGCTTACTGCTTGCACTAATTTGCAGAATTTGGAAGCAGGTAAAAGTATTTTATGTCTTTGCATGAAGATGGGGTTTCTTTGGAATACAATTGTTTCTAGTGCAGCCATTGATCTGTTTTCCAAATGCAACAGAATGAAGGATGCAATTTGCTTGTTCGATGAGTCAAATATATTTGATTCAGCTCTTTCCAATTCGATGATCGCTTGCTATGCAAGGAATGGATTAATGGAGAATGCACTGGAACTTTTTGTCCTTGCATTAAGGGAGAATATCAGACCAACGGAATTCACACTCAGCTGTGTTGTTGGATCTGCTGCTGTCTTCCTTCCGTCGGAGCAGGGGAGTCAGGTCCATTCTTTGGTGGTCAAATCAGGATTTGAATCGGACGATGTTGTTGCCAGTTCACTAGTTGAAATGTATGGTAAGTATGGGTTAATCGACTCTGCCTTGCATATCTTTTCTAATATGAGTACAAAAGATTTGATATCTTGGAATACTATGATAATGGGATTGGCTTACAATGGCAAAGCAATCGAATCCCTTAGCATTTTTGAGGAACTACTTGAAAGTGGTTTACATCCCGATCATATAACACTTTCTGGTATTCTTTTAGCCTGCAATTACGGTGGCCTTCCTGAGGAAGGGATGGCCATTTTTTCTTCGATGGAAAAGGAATATGGAATTACTCCAAGAAACGAGCATTATGCTTATGTTGTAGATACGATCATGAGGGCAGGTAACATTGAAGATGCAATTTCAATATTAGAAACAATGCCACTCAGTGCTGCTCTTTTTTCGGAATCTGTGCTTCGAACTTGTGGACATCTTGAAAACCTGGAACTAATTGAAAGAGTCACAAAGAGGATGATGGAGTTGGAACCACAATCATCTCTTCCTTACTTGGTGTTGGCCGACGCATATGAACAAAGGGGTAAATGGGAGAGCCTTGTACGAGTTAGGAAAGTGATGGAGAAGATGCCGACAAAGAAAGTAGTTGGCTGCAGTTGGATTGGATTAAAAGACCATGTCTATGCTTTTGAAGCAAACCAAATGATTCAGCATGGTGGAAAGGATGTTTATTTAATTTTGAAATTATTGATGCAAGAAGTGCAGGAAGAAAACAATCCTTTGCAGATTATTGACATAAGAGAGTAGAGATTGTGCCATGTTGTTCATTGACATGGCTATCCATACAGTTTGGCATCTTTCTGTAGTCACGATCTTGGCAAAACTCGTGCACTTGGAATAAAGGTGGTGATTTGTCGAATCAATTCTGCACGAGACTCAAAACAGGCTATTAGTGTGAGATCTGAGCGTATTCGAGACGAAATTAAGTGGTTGACATGAAATGAGACTTCATAGCTATAATATGGAAGAAAATAAAGGCGTGTCAGTGTCATTGTTTGCAGTAAATATTGCATGGATGACTTATGGGATTTCAACTGGAAGAGGATGAAAGATTTCTGTTTCTAGGGGATTTACTAGCCAACTCTTGCATATTGTTCTGATTCAGACTGCTTTGAAAATGGCTCAGGTGCTTTGCGGCTATGCTTTTAGTAATTTGGACTGCATAATCAGTTCAATTCTTGATGCTAAATTTTTGTTTTAACTGGTTTCATAGTGCAGGAACATCTGAATTCGTGGAAAGCATAAACGCGCACGAGGAAAGAGAGATTTATAGTGATTCACTCACAATGTGGCAGGTGCTGATATGATCCAGGAGAATTACAAGCCCTTCGTTATATGTTGCTAGATCTAGCAAAGGAACTTAAAAGAGACCTTCAGAGAGAATGCTGATGGTGTAAATGTGTAATGCCCTGAACCCGTTTGACTTATCACATGGTTGTTAGGGTTACAGCCGTAATCCCAATCCTGGAAGCAATTATGGAGAAATGGAAAACATAAACGCACGCTCGGAACCAGAAATTTATAGTGTTTCACTCTCACCTCTGCTGATTTTTCACCATGATCAAGGAGAATTACTAGTTCCGACTTCTAACATACTGAAAAGACGTCCCCCTCAGATTCTTATTTGTAGTGTCAATTCAGATAAAAGTAGAGGTGTACTTGGGCTGCAATGGCTTAAAGAATCTTGATTTTCCTGGTTCTTGAAGATTGTTGGATGTCAAATTCTCAGTATAGTGATCCAAAGTCTTAAAAAACCATCAAGTTTAATTTATACAAGCTATGCGGACCCATTAGTCCATTCTTTTGTTGCGTTAAGCCCCCGTTATCATTTACTTTACATTCTTTCCCCCTTTTTTTTATAGTACTCATTTTTAATCATATATTTTTCATAAAATAATAATACACGCAAATCGAAAAAAATATTTTTTAACCATACATTCTTCATCAATCACTATTGCATAATACATTTCTTCAAATTAATGAGGCTCAAACAGTGCCTAATCGATAGAATGGACAAAGTTTTGGCTTATATGAACTTGTCTATGCTGCTAGTGATTGATTGATATATCCATCCATTTTTTTTTATCCAATAGAGGATGGTTTTTGAGCGGGATGGACTGAAATAAATGTTCAACACGCTTTTCTTTGAAATTTATTTTATCCATTTTTTTAACTTTTTGAGAAACCTCTTAATGTTTAAATTAATCAAAATAGATAAATAAAAGCTCATCACAGTTCATCTTTGCATTAATCATGTCTATCCGTCCCTCCCGCACTTCCATATTCCACATTGCATTAGGTTTTCATATTGATGAACCACTACTGGATTTCACTTATATCTTAGTACGTAAGTGCAATAATAATAATAATAATAATAATAATAATAATAATAAGCCAAAAGGCATCCCCCAAAATCCAATCATAGCCGGTCCTGTGATTCTTGGGGCCTGAGACGAAGTCTGTAAATTAGGCTCCCGGCGAAATCAACGTAAATAAAAAATTCAACGATATATTATGTGACCAATTACTAACTTGAAAAACTAACATTAAAACAACAATCAAATATATTATAGAAAAGATTTATATTATAAACTATCAAAATCAACAATGTTTGAAACAATTAGTTAAATACTATTCGTCTTACTGTTTTAGAGGCAAAAACATCGATCAAATCTGAATAATTTAGCTGCTCAACCATTTCTTTCTCTATTGATAACATAGCCAACATGTTTAATCTTTCTTGCGATATAGTTGATCGAAGATAAGTTTTAATCAACTTCAATTTCGAGAAACTTCTTTTCGCAAATGCAACTGTAACCGGTATGATTAACAAAATTTTGTAAACAATATAAATATTTAGAAAATAAACATTCAATGTCTTCAAATATTATAGCACTTCAATTGCTCTTGTTGCTTCACTTGGTATATAACACCTTAAGACTTGTAACTCCGAACATAAATCATCCCCACTGATATCCAAATGCCCATCATGTTGAAGATATTTCTCAAGATTCATACAAGAGTTCAACAAACTTGAAAATGTTGCACCCCTTAACCTCTTCAAATTAAACAAAAATTCAAATGTGTCATCATATTGTTTGAATTGTTCAAATCGAGTCCTCAGAAAAGATAGAGCTTGATCAATTATAAAAATAAAGTACTCAATTCTAAAAGATTCTTCTACTGATTGCTTTACCTCATCACTACCACTTTCATCAAATTGTTTTTCTTCGAATTATGCGTTTTTCTGTAAATATTGCTTCAATCCCCATTTCGCTTGCCTTTTTTGTCGCTTCATCCTTGGCAATAGCAAATCCAATTTCTCAATATTCTTCAAGAAATGAAACTAGTCATTGCAAGAGGTCGATAGCATGATCAATATCTATAGATTCAGTTTAAAGAAATTTACTCACATTATTAACAGCATGCAACAACCTGTACCAGATTATCATGCCAAGAAAAATTTTTGAAGTTCATGTGTTGCTAACGACTCGGCCTTACTCTTCAATTTGGATCTTCATTACTTTCTGTCAAATCAAGTAATGCCTCTCTTATCTGTGCAGTTTGCTCCATTATAAGTTTCACACTTTCAACATGACTTTCCCAACGTGTTTGTGACAATGGCTTCACTATCAACCCTTGTACATTATCTTTGAAAATGTTTCATCGCTTGGTAGAAAAGGAAAACAATGTGTAGATGCGTTGTATCGCTCCGAAGAAGGATACAGCTTTGGAACAACATTTCACCATATCACATAATGCTAGATTTAGACTATGAGTGCCACATGGAGTACAGAAAGCTCGAGAATTCATTTCATGGACTCCTTTTTGCACACCTTTGTGCTTCTTGCTCATGTTAGATCCGTTATCATACCGTTGCCCTCTAATGTCATCAATATCGAAATCAAGTTTTATCAAAGCCTTTTGAAACTCAATTGCAAGTCCAAGTCCTGTTGTGTCATCTACCTTCAAAAATTCTAGCCAATGTTCTATAACTGTAGGTAAGTTTGGCGAATTATCTACAAATCGTACAATTAAAGACATTTGCTCCTTATGACCTGCATTTGGAGTACTATCAAGTATAAATACGAAATATTTTGCATGTTTAACTTTATTGACAATTGAACTTCTCATCTCATTATCCAACAACTGTATCAGCTCATTTTGGATTTTCTTGCCAAGATATGTATATTGAATCTCTCTTGTTTTAGTCCGCCGAATGTGCTCTTGCATTATTGGATCAAATTCACTAATCATTTCCACCATTTGTAAAAATAGGTCATTGTTCTCAACATGTAGCCTCTAATCATCTCCTCGAAATGACAATGTGTTTTTCAGATTATCCTTGTTAATACATGTCTCCAATGTTCTCTTTCAACATCAATCAACAATTCAACGCTTTTATCAATTGTAGTTTTTGTTCGAAGCCTATTTTCTAATTCAATCCAGCTAGTCATGCAACGTAAATGCTCCTCATTTCCTTCATGACTTTTAATAGATCGATACAAATTATGCCAATCTTTGAATCCATCATTACCTAGTTAGCCAACTTTGGTCACATTTATTGGTGTTTTAAATAACTTGCAACAAAAGTAGAAGATCATTTTCATAGACACTGAATATACTAGCCATCTTCTATCAACTGTTCGCCCATTTGGTAGAAATCGCTTATATTGTGAAGAATCGAAATGTCTATTTTTATAGTCTTTTAGAAACAAGATGTCATCAACTCTTTTTGAACCCCTTTCAACTAAGTAATCCCTTGTTCTTTGATCAATGATTTTCCAATTCCCGAGATCATCCAAATTTAGAGAAAAGCAACCCTCTTCTTCCTTATCATCTTCTTCATTATTAGAGACGAGATTCATCACTTCCTCTTCTTTATCATCTACTTCGTTAACATCGACAAGTTAACTCACTTCTTCATCCTTATCATTTACTTCATTAACATAGGCATGTTGAATCTCTACTTCATCCTCATTCAACACATTCACATTATTGCTTTTGAAGTATTTGTTAATATCCTCTGCTTGACTTTGAATTAATCCAATTTCATTTCGTTTCCTTTTCCTCTCTTGAGCACCAGACTCATATTTAGGAGGCATAGTATAGGAGTGAATATCTAATGTCCAATGATTAACCTAAAAAATAATTACACAATATCTCAATTATAGTTTCGAATATAGTTACTACGTGCGCCTGTGCAATTGTTCATCGTACAATAAGCAATCATATAAGCCGACCAGGCTGCAATTATATAAG